AAATAAATAAATAAATAAATAAATAAATAAATAAATAAATAAATAAAGTGGTCATAGGCAAGCATTCATATATTTGGGTGCTCAGATATAACAACCTGTAAACATCTTTTTCTGTTCATTTCCTCACACCTGATACTTTATAAACAGATACCTAAGAAGTATTTCAAAATGATTAGAAGGCACCCAATAACTGTCCATTCCCTTTCCTGATCCTTCTACCCCAACTGCTTGAGTAAATGTTGTACAACATAGAAAACATTAGAATTCCAATAATAATGTGATTCTCTCTTTCCTTTCTCCTTTCCTCTGCCCCAATCTCTCTTTGTTTCTGTCTCTTTCTATTAAAAAATATAAACAGGAACAGTATTTTGATTCTTGTTTTTAGCAGATTTGCAACGATTTTCTTAGGATGTCAAGTATACTATCATTTTGGCTTTATTAAAGAGCTCTGCACTGAAATGGTAGCATAGTATAGCTATACTCTTAAGTATTTTTCATAGCATATACTATTGACCTTAAAATTTCCCAATACAAATCAAAAGCTCAGCTGACAAAACATTGTGGATTAAAGATTTCCTGAAGGATATGAAATCTTGCATATTCAGGGTTAAGCATCATCTGAAATCTCCCTCTGCATGAAACTTGTTGATCTGAGAGAAGTTTACATGGAACACATATAATAATATAATTGATTTTATTGAATTGTGTTGGGTGAGGTCCTTCTGACCTATGTTGAGGAAGCCCATAAGCAATACTCTATGGATTTGTTCACTGTGCTTAGGTCACAATGTTGTCCAGTATGGTGTCCACTGCCTTGCACTATTTTTTTGAGGTTCATCTTGGGAGAAATTTTTTTTTTCTGGTGTTAATTTTCAGGAATTATTGAGATTCTCTTGAAAAAGTGATTTTTTTAAAGTAGGCTCCACACCTAACATGGTGCTGGAATGCACAACCCTGAAATCAAGAGTCACATGCTCTAGTGACTTAGCCAGCCAGGCACCCCCCAAAACTGATTTTTTTTTCAGAGAATTAACTTTGTGACTCATCTGTTGATTACATTTCTCCCTCACCACTGAAAAAACGTGTTAGACAAATTTATGTTTTATCCTTACAATGTCATGGTAAATATGTTCTTCCTACATGCCTGGTTTTGTCGTCAGTATACATGTTTTGTCCGTGTGACGTTATTGCTATCTTTATCTTATCTTTGTTTTCAATCAAAAAATGACAAATTGTCTGAAATATATTAGGTCATCTAACAATTTTGGACAATGTGAAATTTTTATAACCCTTCTTAGTACCTTTTTTGTTGTTTACATGTATCTACATAAAATTAATCGTATAACGCCTGGACACAGAAATAGTCTTAAATATGTGAGGTTCATTATTGTTACTGCTATTCTTGTGATAGTTTCAACTGTTAATTCAA